TGACGTTAGAACAAGAATGCACGGGAGTATTTGTATTGTTTTAACTCGACAACCGTACCCACTATAAAGCCGGTCGTGACCGTACCCTTGGCGAGATAAACTCGAAAGAACGTGGCCGCGATGTTCGTCGGATCGACCGCGGCTGGGGTTTGACATGCGATCGGTCACTTGATCAACGTGCACACGAATGATTTCGTGCTGTTGGATGAGCTCATTCGGCGGCAGGACCGGGTCGAAGAGCACAGTGAGCTGGTCGTTTAACGTCTCCGATATAAAATTTGGCGAGATGCAAGACATGGCTTCTATTTATGCCGGCGTTATGAAGCTTGAAAGTGGTGCTGTTGTTGTGGTTCTTACGGTAGCTTTGCTGAAATTATGAAGACGGTAATAAACCTCCATTCAGCGCTGCCGTGCCGTCAAGATTCAGAACCTCACCTTGACCAAAGTGAACAACGCTTGCGCGAGCACGGAGGCAGGAGCCAACGGTCTGAGAAAAAATTGTGCCGCCGCCACGACCGCCAGCGATCGCCCCAATGGCAAGAAAACAAACGACAAGCTTATTGAGGTTTGTGTAGTGCTCACTGTTGATTCATCGGACGACAAAGGTGAATGATATAAAACGCAAGGTAAGTTTGCCAGCGTTTTGCAAAACTAACGCGTTTCGTTGAAAATTCAATTTGTGGAATTTGTTAACGCTTTGAAAGTTTGACGGGGACTGCACTGTGAACGCAGCCCTCACACAAGTGTTTTCTAGAGTGTGCTGTATCTGCATGCATATAAAGACAGAAACACTGCCGATATGGTGCATAAAATAAAGAAGATTTCGCTTATCCTGATAATGTTGACTATCTAGTGAGTGCTGTTGACAGTAGTGGCGTAGCCAGGAACTTTCGAGGGGGTGAGGGTGGAGGGGTGTTGAGGTGGTTAGGATGTTCATGACTTAGGGTGAGGGGTGGTGGTGTTGAAATTTGTGTGTATATTCTAGAGTCCGCCGAATTCGGGGAGGGGGGTGGGGCGAAGCCCCATTAACCTCCTCTCCCCTCGATCTTTACCCCCTGACTTCGCCACTGGATGATGCCATAAGGGCAGTGTGTCGAACCGAAAAAAATACGGGTTCGGTTACGGTTCAGGTTCAGGTAAATTTATTTTGTTCCGGTTCAGTTCCGGTTCGATTAATTCGATCCGCGAACCGGTTCGCGAACCGGTTCGGGGCGCTGAACCGGTTCGCGAACCGGTTCGGAAATTATAAATGACAAATCGCAACATCAAAATAAATTACAAATAAAACATCTGAAATCAGCACATTCGAAACGGGATACATCGTAATGTAAGGCTCAGGGATTTCTACCAGGAATGGTTTCTTTATGTGCACTCAAAGGTTACCTCACCGACGTTTACGGATTCGGACTTCATCTAATTGGGTCCGACGCAGTAGCTGTAAAATCCGCGACCTCCTTACAAACCCACTTACAACTAGAACTCGCTAACTATCCCGCCACCTCGGCGTGTAAGCAATTGAAGGAACAGTGGGGAGAAAATACAGCTTTCTTTATTTGAACTAGCCTTCGGTAACTCAAATTAGACCCTTAAAGAAGTTTTCAATAAAAAGATATGGAATATGAAAAACACTTCACCGAACGCAACGCCAGAAGGACGTAATAGGATAAATATTAAAATAGAAGAGTTCGCTGTCTCACAAATATGTTAGCTTCGAAGTGCCTATACAAAACCGGATGCATTATTATCAAACTCCACAGCCTTTTTTTTTCTTATTCCGAAGGAAGCAAGCTTCAAGAACTCGCGCGTTCTAAAAACGTGTTATGAAATGAGCACACAGCAGCATTTAGGATTTACGAGATTGTAGGAAAATGAAATCCCGTGACGCGATTCTTTTTTTTTTCACAGCCTTCCAATTCTCTTTCTTCTGTGCAAGCCGCGACCAGCGCAATACTGGTTCCTATGCCAAGATTCATGGATGCAGCGTTTGTCGAGATTCATGGACGCAGCCTTTATATTCCCAAGACTGAGTGGAGAAGAAAAATATGTAAGCGAGGTGTGTGTCAGTTGACGGCACTTAAAAAACAAATGGCATTGATAGCACATTCATTGTCAACAGCGCGTGGCCGAACCGTTTTGACATGAGCCGGTAACCGTTATTTTTTTTTCCGGTTCAGTTCCGGTTCGGGTTCATCGCGATAACAATATGACGGTTCGGGTTCGGGTTCGGGTTCAGTTCCGGAAAAAATACCGGTTCGGTTCCGGTTTTCGGTTCGGTTCGGTTCCGGTTAGACACCCTGCATAAGGGGAGCATCCTACATTCACAGGCTGCCATAAGCATGTTCATAGCCACTGAGCTCGTACCACAGTGGCAAGAGAGTTGCTGACATTCTTCACGTTACGTAGCAGTTCTTTCTTTAGTACCTATGCTCGCTTTTCCTTCACACATCTACTCTGCTTCCGCTGGTCGTTCATGCTTGATGGTGATACGTCAACAGCGCGTATTTTCTCTGCATCACAGGTAAAATAAAAAAAAAAAAAAAATCCAGTTCCCACTACTCTTTAATTTCAATGAGTTCCTGTCACTTTTGAAACAACAATATATTTAAATGGTGTCATAACCTTTACATTAAACACACGTGTGTTGAATGTGGGACAATTGTATCTTTGTTGTTTGTCTTAGTCATTGAGGTGACAGACATCCACAAGATTGCACTGGCTAAATTCCTCGTCTCCTGTGGGTAACTGTTTCCATACCCTGTCAGACTAAACTCCCGCTCTCTAAATAACTAACGACTCATTTTAGGACACACCTGTTCGTAGTTCATTGCGGGGCATCGAAAAGTATTTCTTATGACTGTCCGATGGCTGACATGCAATTCCAGAAGCTTGGCGTGAAAAGGAAAAATATCTAATTGATACAATGAAATGCCATCAGCAGCCCATCCAGGTTTTATTGCGTGATTGACAGTAGCTACAAACAGCAACAAATAATCAACTTAAGACATAGGTATTAAGGGTGCACTAACTTCGAAGCGGTAGAAACACTGAAGTTTTAACGTCAACGTACCACCATGTTGGTCATGGCAAAGTGGTGTTTGCGGCAAGGTGTTGGGAGTCCTTCAGAATGGTGACGGTCTGCTTCAGACCGATGATGATGGTGGCGAAGGTTCAGTTAAATTCTAGGTTCAGTCAACGCGCCCCACGACGTGGGTGTGCTTGTCGCGGTGACGACGAAAGCCTTTTTTCGCACATGCTTCAGCTGCCTCGATCCGGGGTTTTGTCGACCCAGCCGTCTCTTCCCAGCCGGTTGACAGCGAAACTCGCGACGGCCGTCACGGCTTTAATCACCATCCACTGGGTATTAGCTATGTGATCATCGGTGGCAACTGCGCGCTTGTAGTTCCCGTTGCGAAAAATCTCCGTGCGATTCAATTAGTAGCTGCTGCTCGACAGTCATCATCTCTCATCGTCGCTGTCTCTCATCGCGCAGCTGGTCACACTGCGATCGTACGGTGCTTTTCGACAAGCGGTATTGCCGTCAGAAACAGTCGTCGTGCATCGCGAAGGCAACCGGGTGCTCGCGGAAAACCCGTCATTGTACGCGTTGGTAGAGCCATCGTGGCGCAACAGGCATCGCCGCCATTTTCTACGCGTTAGAATCCTGCCCAAAGCTTGTTCCCCTTCGAGCAATAGAAACAGAACTTAAAAGCACGAGCACATCACCCCGAACGATGCTTGCACAAATGTTGGCTTGCACTGCGCAAGCGCGCCTGTTCGACAGGGACGTTGAAAGCCCGGAGCACGTTCTTGTAGCTCCTACACCCGCACTAGCTCGCACTCATAGTGAAACAGAGAGTAGGGTCTGTCGAGTAATACCGCAGTTAATCTAGTTACGCGACTTCCGCTATGTGCTACGTAGGTCGGACGTGGTCATACGTTACTTTGTCGTCATGGTTCGAACTCGAAGAGCGACAGTTACGGCAAACGGTTGCTTTCGTGTTTTGCGAACGTTCCCGTGAGAACCCCGTGGAATTATCACGCGGGCTGTGGCCAATAGGAGCGCGCGGTTCGTAGGGGGGAGGAATTTTCGAGAAACACGAACCTGACCGCCAGGAGGCCGGCGAAAAGGAGAAACCACCAGTCACGACGAGCAGAGAGCTTTTGGGGAGGAGCTCGCACCGTTAAGGCTGTTTCACATTCTGCGATTCTCGCCCAAATTCGATGCGATTTCCAGTAAATGTGCGATTAAAATCGCAGCTGCATTGTCGCAGCGGCTCCGCGGCTGGTTTCCACCAAGTTCGTATTTTGTCGCAGATTCGGTGCGATCACTTCATCGCCAACCAGCCGTTCATTGGACAGCTTTCATTAGCGATAGTTGCGTATTTGAAAATAAATTTAGACGTCTTAAAACGTTTGGTTTATTGCTTAATTATTAAAAATTTCTAGTTAGATATTGTATTCGTAAAACACTTGTGTTTATTAAGACGTTTTTGCTGTATTTTCAGCAAAGTCAAACGCGTCGTGTCCGTGTCCGAACAGCCGGCCGCGCCGACAGAAATCGCGCTGTTGTTGGAGCACGTGAAACCAAACATTGCGATCGCACTCGCTGTGTCGGCTGTCGCACCGATTCTTTTCGCAACAGTCGCTGCATGTGAAACAGGCTTTAGTCCTAACTTGCAGCAAAACCAAATGCGGACAGCAAGTCGTCTGCTACTTCCGTAGGGGTTGCGATGACGTCAGAACGACGTTGAGTTCTGATTGGCTTTGATTGGAAGGATAGTGAGTAGACCCCAATGCTAGATGCCTTGAGGTCTACCCACTATATATTTGTTTTTCAATCAGCCAATAAGAGTTCTGTGTTCTGACATCATCGCGACCCCTGTCCAGGAAGCAGACGAACTTGCGCCCCACACAGGCTGCGCCGTACTCTTCGCCAAAGGAGCTACGTACGTCACGATTGTCGGTTGAAGAGGCTGTTAAAACCGGTTTACGGCACTCACCTTATGACGCGACGAAGTGCTTCGATGAACAAGGCGATTACCGCCGTGTAGATGAAGAGGGCCGCGTAACTCCACATTGCGGCGCCAAGCGCACGCCTCCGAACTGAGAACTGAAAAAGAATGGCGGAGCCTGCACCTATAAAAAGGCCTCCACGGGTTTGCGCAATATTGAGCTTCCGGCTCAGCAACACTTCCTTTGATTTCCTCCTCCCAATACTCTGACTGACTGACGCGGGGCAGACAGCTATTGGCCGCTGCGGATACGCAGTTCGCTGGGTGTGTTTACCCGATAACATGTTTGTATCTATGTCAAGTGCGCTTCAGACTTACCGCCGTCCCGGCATTTACCGTTTCTGATGGTCCCTGCGGCGGCCGATTGAAATATCTGAAGAATGATTTAGGTTCCCGATTTCTATCCCATCCTGAGAAGGCATCCCGAACGTTTTGGTGACAAATGTAACAGTAAGTAGCCGACACGAGCTCAATTTTTGGGAACCCAGTGGCGGCGTTAAGTTTGGGGAGCACTGTACACAGCCTCCTCTATACTCACAAAGCCTGGCAGATTTGGAGACGGTCGCAGATTTGGAGCGCGAGGATCTGGTAGCAAAGAGCATCAAAGAGCCATTTCTTGGGGAAGCTGGACGTCAGTGCACAGCTTTTGCAGCGGCGAGGACCCCCAAAACACTTTTTCGATCGGAAGACGTATGTTTCGGCGTCTCGCCGCAGCGGGGCGGCAGTCACGTAGCTCTCCTCTCATCCTCTGTCCGCCGCTCCATTTTTTTCTATTCCCGCGGCCGCTACCCGTTGTGATCTGCCAGGCTTTGTCAGTATATAGGAGGCTACGCTATGTAGGAAACACTTGCACGCGGTAGATTATGAACGGTCGGTAATGTTGAACCGTGCTCCACGCAGAGTGCTTCCGATATATGTATAATATACTTACCGGGCGTTCAGAAACGTTGCCAACGTTTGCTGGTCGTTAATTAGTCGTTATCCTAGGATAAAAATGCGTTTTTTTACGGGGCCTTTCGGGAGCGGATATTTCCAGCTCTTTTTTATTTTGTTTTTTTCTTACTATCGTTTGGTCAGAAGATATTGCTTACCAACCAAGAGGCTTGTCGAAAGGTATTGCGCAAAAAATTCAGTTACTTTTAACGAGGAAATAAATAAAAAGCAAATAACAGGTGAAGTATGCAGAAAAAGTTTGTTTTGTTTGTTTTGTTTACAGTGGCAGCTACAAAAATAGGGAGTTTTCGTAGATCGTTTTCGCTGTCCTGCAACGGCTCTCCGATACCCGCTACGATACCCGCATCTCTACAGTCAAAGCTACCGGCGCGCAGGCGCAGTAGCGGCTTCTTCGTTGCGAAGGGCTTAGCAGAGGGGGAAACGCGGTCTACAAAAACTCCCTATTGTCGCGGCGGCCGTACGCAACAACTTTCGTGATAGCGGAGCACGCGCCGCCCTATCCACGCCGCGCTGTCGCTCACCCCGCCAACATCGCACCTCGCAAAACTGCGTCATCTATGGCATGCGCTACTTCTCTCGCAACTCCCCCCTCCGCCTTCTTCTCGCCGCCACCCACACCGCACCAGCTCCAAAATCGCAGCTGAGGCCGCCGACGCTTCGGAGCTCCGGATGATTCTCCACCGCGTCTACAAAAAGGCATGAACCAAACCACGTTCTACAAGGGCGTTTCAACCAAAAAGCGCATCTCAGAATCATTTTTGTACACCTCGTAAAAACATTCCGCAAAAACAGGCATATACTTAACCGAAAGTACATCAACTTACATCTACTGAAAGTAAACCTCATAAAACACACTTTTTCGGCTTTCAGCTTGAAAAGGTTCAAGTATTCAGAGAGGGTTACGCCATTACCCTAAAAAAAGAACAGAAAAAATCTAAATCAGAAAATGTAATTTATTCAACCGTAGTAGGCTTCTTTTTTTTTAATATCTTATGAAATGTGGAATTTCCAGACACCTGAACCACATAACCCACTTAAAAAGCAAAAATGCATAAAAAAGGACACACTAAACTAGCGTGGCGATTGACTACGTGTAAATTTTTTATGCGTTTGAATAAACAATAATGTATAAAACACCTGTGAACTCGTATTTTTGTCTTGCACCAGTGGTATACGTACGGTCAGGCGTGTTCTTGATGGTTCATGTCGAATACGGTGACCGCTCCTACGCACTTGCACACTCTAAAGCCGAAATTCCACTAATAATAGGTAATACAAAACGTCAGTCTGTAGACTCTCTGAGGCGTGTCTGTTCCTTGTATGATACGGCTGTGTCGCACTGGTCATACAAAAACTCCCTGCAAACATGTTTAAAGCGGTCTTAAGGGCTAATACATATGGTACGTCTTGCAAAATCGGAGTTCCAAACGTACATACCTCAAGTTGGGCACGCAAACGTAATTTCGGAAAAAAAACGTGTTTTGTCCTATCCTTCTATATACTGACAAAGCCTGGCAGATCGATACGAGAAGCGGCCGCCGAAAAGGAAACTGTGAACCGGCAGACAACGGACGAGAGGAGAGCCACGTGACTGGCGCCCCGCTGCGGCGAGGCACCGAAACATACTTCTTCGAAGCGAACCAGTGTGTTTCGGGCCCTCGCCGCTGCAAAAGCTGTACGCGGACGTCCAGGTTTCTTGAGAAATGGGTCTTTGCTGCTCTCCTCTACCAGATCCTCGCGCTCCAAATCTGTCACCGGGCCCCAGTCTTTGTTACTGGTTTTCGGCGTTTTGGTGCTCAGCAAGCCACCCAGGAGCGAGCTCTTAAACCAGTGTGCAGACGAACAACAGGCTGGTGAAGGACACAGAAAATACACGGCATCTGATTTCGCTTTATTCCTAATGTTTCACTACCTCAAAAATAAGCTCTAAAAAAAAAATAGCCATAATACTTTAGACGAAGCTTCGTTAGCGTGTCCAGTTTCAGGTACTGTGTACGTCTGGAAATCGATTTTTTTTCTAGGCGTGCCCAATGTGTCGGTGCTTACGGCCGCATGGAGCTTGTATGCACATAGCAAACATGTTTCGAACATGGTTGAAGCTTGTCTGCACATAATTTTATTGTGTCTGTATACCGACCACCGAGTCTTTGGTTCAATGTATGAGCAGGTTGACCTGGGTTTAAAGAAAGGTCTGTCATTTCGCTTTCCCTCAAAACGCGAAGACAACGAATCACGGCGAACAATGGAAGCATCGTAGTGAATGACGAACACGACTGGAACTGAAAAACACGACGAGCACGCGGACAACCAGCCATGGTCCCCGCAGATATCGCTCGTTTCTTTGTTTCGGTCTCTAATGGTTTTCTGAGCTCCGTCAATCAATGGGATCCTTCTATCTTTCGCCGCGATTCGTGTTCTGAAGAAAAGAGAGCTCACATAGCTTTTTTTCAGAGCAGCAGCTTAAAAGGGTGTGAAACCATATCCAATTACATTTTTTTAATGTGAAAGCATTATATGGCATTATTTAAACATATAAAGTAGCGCGAAAAAGACAAGGACAAGAAGTATACAGGAAAAGTGGTAACTTTAAACAAGTTTTACGCAGGAAAAGCAAGCATATATACACACGACACGCGAAGCAGCACCACAAAAAAGTTGCTTCGTTTTGTACCCAAACATTCAGTAACAGAAACTCATTTCTATGAAGCACAATAGAAGTGTCGCTGACACATGCCATCCCACTTTTTTTTTTTTTTTTTTTTTTTTTTTTTTTTATAAAGAATACCTCCAATAGCTAACGAGCGATCGTCTCTCGGCTTCTCCCCAGAATCCTTATCTGCTGAAGTCGCGGAACACAGCCACAAGTTATCAAGGTAGTACGTTCGTCTCGTTCGATGACAAGCTGTTTATCCAGCGGAAGGGCATTAGGTCATGCGTCACTCCTGTGCTTTGTAACATGTTTTAGTCCGCTGTTGATCCTGAATTGAATCGTGTTTGAGACGCCGACAATGTTCTTAAGGTTTTTAGATACGTGAACGATTTTCTTGCACTTTTAAAAACTAACATCTTTGTTACGCACTTCGATACAGTACAAATCATTCTGTCAGCTTTGAACAACATGGGAAAGGTTTACTGTTTGTGGGCAACCTGGCGATTCCAAGCGGTTGGCCCAGGCTGCCCCTCCGACAATCATAAGCGGTCATCTTGACCACGAGGGGGCCAAGGGCAACTGGCCACGCGAGCGGCGCTCCGCCGCTGAAAAAAGGCCGTCGCAGCGGATGCGCGGGGGCTGTTGGGATCGCGGCGCAGGCGATAGCGCTCATTAAATGTTTACGTGTTGTTGAACCGGTGTGCTGTGTCATTTTCCGGGACGGGTAGCAGCAAGGGAAATCCCACACTGACGCCCAACGTGATATGCTGCTCGTCTGGGAGGATGGCAGCAAACTGGGTTCGTTCTTACGTTTTACATAGTCAATTTTGCGTTCCTGAGTTTGCCCACAGTTGAGGGGGCGTTTCTTCGCAAGCCTAAGTTCATCGACCTGCGGAAGTCTCCGCTACAACACGATGCCGTCTACAGAGGACGCCGACAGGAACGTGAGTGAGGACGACCTTTTGACGCTCGGTGCACTCGCGGATAACGCCGCCAGCGACATAAAACCAGACGCTAAGCCTGCAGTCTCAGTCCCGGTAGGCGCATCATTAGAGGGAGGTATAGCAGAACTAAGAGTGGCCATGACCATGCTTGTTAACATACAACGAGAGCAGATGATGCGCTCAAGACCCACTCCTGCTGGAAGTACGCCCCCCAGGGACTTCCTAAGGCTCTCGCTTAGCGTTCCGGTTTTTTTGGGGTACGCAGATAGAAAGTCAGTTGCGGTGTTCGTCTCGGAACTGCGGGACTACCAAGCTGCGTCGGGAATCGACGACGAATCCATCCTCACCCGCCTTTTGCCGGTTGCACTGACAGACAGTGCAGCACTGTGGAGGCAAAGACAAACTAAATTCACAAGTATGTCAGATTTTGAGGCACGATTTAGGACGGAGTTCCTGCCTCCGGATTACAGCGTGCGGATTAAGGACGAGCTGCGCGCGCCCACACAGCACCCGGAAGAGTCACTTATTGTGTTT